GAATGTTGAACTGACGAATGTTGAACTGACGAATGTTGAACTGACGAATGTTGAAGTGATGAATGTTGAAATGACTAGAGATTTAGTCATGAAGTCTAGGCCGAAATCAAATAGATCTAGTGAGTACTGAACTGACGAATGTTGAGAGATTTCGTCATGAACATCATGACGAAATCCAACACACCTGACGAGTATTGACGACTGCTGGCGATTGTTTAAATTTGAAATGATGAACACTGCTTCATTACACACTCGAAGATAAAGTAATTTCACAATAGCCTCTAACCCGATAGTCAGATTCTCCCTATCATTTTATTTGAGTTTCTGAAGAAGCATGGTAATTTCACTCACGTCCATACTTAATGTTGATGGATATGGTGGGGGGAAGCCAGGGGTGAACTTAGATCGTCCCCATATCCACTGTGTACCACCAGAGGGACGGATGACTGACCACCATTGACGTGCTCGAGTGTGTTTCGCCGTTGAAATCAAGGTTCCATTGATGTCAGGATAGGGAATTAACCAGTGATGCCGAAGAAACTCTGCTTGGAGGAGATCTGTCCATTGATTCCACGTCGGTCTCCAGTCTTCTTTCAGCGCGTCTTCGACTTTCTGTCTCATGATTCGAAAGGCTTTTAGAGCGAATGACTTTCGGTTGTACTTGATGGAATCGCCCCATAACCATTCAACGAGATCGGCTGGGGTCGACGTCTTGGATTTGTTGCCAGAGACCAGATGTGGTTCCGTAGCCAAGGCCGCTTGAATTCCTGCGTGACAAAATTGGACAAGATCCAAGTCGAAGTCGGCTTCGTCCCACTGGACCAGTTCTTTCTTCATGGCCGTAAGGACATCTCGTCGATACTCTCGTAGACAGATGTGGACAGAGAGAAGCATGGCCTCATCATGTGCCTGGGAGACGCGTGAAGTGGTCATGAAGGCCAGACAAAGCCCGAGAGCGGCGTGCGCATCTTGTAGGAGACGCCCAGAGCCCATGTACCATGAGCTGAGATCCCGGCTGACTCTGACGACCTCTGATGCGATCTCAGGTGCGAAACTGAGGTGCTGCCAGTCGATGATGGGGGAAAACCATCCGTAACCGCGTCGTGCCATCGTGTCCTTGAAGCCCAGCCCTCGCACCCGACCGCGGGCGGCGGTCTCGGTAGTGTACCATAGCACGGCATCTCGCGACGGCTCACAACTGGAGAATCGTTGAACACACCGAAGAAGAGTGGCGATGAGCTTGGATCGTTCGAAAGGGATACCCGTCCGTGGACTCGTGATGGCCACCATCTCCAGAGCCGCAGTGAACTTGTTGTAGTTCTCCAACATGAAATTCGACCACTGCAGGGCACCGATTGCCCATGTATTGGACGGAGACTCCTCGAGGATGGCGGAGTACCTGTCGCTGGACTCATCCTCACGAGCGCGAGCCTTGATGCCCTCAAAGAGGCCATGCTGAACCCTCAGCTCGACACGATTGGCGAACGATCGATCCGCGTAGTCAGAGTAGCACCTACGCACCCTCCGTTTACTCTCTTGGTATGTGTCGTGGAAGAACTGTTGTTGCTTTGTGTTGCCGTGTTTACGCTTGGTGTGGGCGAGCCAGACTCGTTCGTCGACGGCGAGTTCGAGCAGTCGCTCGTTCGAGAAGGGATAAACGGCACCCGCATCCACAATTTCCTTCGCCACCCCATAAAACTGGCCGTACAGCCATCCCCCGAGACGGGCCGGCGAGCGTCGAGGGGGCACGATGGTCATCGAAGCCGTGTCGCGTAGGAAGCCCGGATGATAGAACGACGTCCGCCCGGCAGGCCCACCGAAGACCTTGTGTCGAAGTCGATCGTGCTCTCTCCGAAGGCAACACGTCCTCCACTGTAGCACCGTGGCGTCAACTTCTCGGTGTTTCACATGACGGTTGTTGGGAGTGATGCCGACCGGGTACACTTCTCGAGCGATGTCGTGAATCATCATATCCATGAGGTCGAAATCGAATATCTGACCGAGTCGGGTTCCGTACTTGTCCATCGCCTCGTACAGGGATCCGGCCACCTTGAAGTCGGCCTTCAAGTTCTTCGCGTCAACGAGGAGAAAGGCGTCGCGGAATTCGGTGAGGCCGAATGTCTCATCATCGATGCGTGCTACTATCTCCTCCCAGGCCCGTGACAGTCCGCGCGACGGGAGAGAGGACAGTAAGTAGGTCTTCAGACCCTTCTCGTGGGACTCTTGTCGTTGCTCCAGCCCTCGCGCTCGCGCCTTCGACTCGGCGACCTGCTGAGTCGGTGGTACACGCTGAAGCCGCTCATGGTCGATAAAATCTTGAAAACAGGGCATCATGGCTCGCTCATTGAATCGCTGGACCGTTTCGGCAGGGAGAAAAGTGAACTTGCGATCCGGCGACGTCAGCCGAGGAAAAAACACGTAGAGTGCACACTGAAACAGCCCGTCGATTGAACCCAAGTAGAGATGAGGGATATGATGAAGAGGGAGTGTCCGTTGAAGCATTTCGCCGCCCGGCCCTGGGAACGTCACTCGACGTCGAATATGAAGGTCGCTTCGAATGAAGAGACTCATATGCTGGGCTGGACACCAACGAAACCCATTATGCAAGGCCCCCAAGGTAAGAGGAAAGCCGATAAAGCCGTCGATATCGTAAGATACTCGACACGGTATCCGTCCCATCTCTTCGCTCTCGACGTGAAGACAGACATTCGATCTGTTCTGATCCGGATCGACACCGCCTTCAAAAATGGCCTTCATCGTTGACGTGTCGGGGAAGAGATGCCGAGGGTAGCCTTTGGCCGCAGGAAACGACTCCGAATTAATTCCAACTTCGTTTCGAGAGGGTAGCGACCGCCCAGTGTCGTCGGTATACGTGGCGTCGAGGCCGTGATGGTTATCACCCTCCTCGGTCAGGTGTTTTATATACTGCTCTTCGTGTTCGTTATCGAGGCAGCCAAACTCGCCTCGTAGAATCCTATATATAGGTTCAATGACGCTTTCAAGATTGATACCTGATACACTATTAGTCGTAGTGGATCGCTGTATATCACGCTCTTCTTCCTCTTCTTCCTCTTCTTCTTCTTCTTCTTC